CAAGATTTTTCTATGATTGCTTTGTCACTAACGAAGTTAACCAGGAAGGATGTTAAGTTTGATTGGGATGAGAATTGTGAGCAAAGTTTCCAGCAGGTGAAATATTGCCTCACTCATGCTCCAGTATTGGTACTTCCTGATGATAACAGTAACTTTGAGATTTACAGTGATGCTTCTTTGAATGGTTTGGGATGTGTTTTGATGCAGCATAATAGAGTGATTGCCTATGCTTCTCGACAGTTTAAGATTCATGAAAGGAATTATCCTACTCACGATCTTGAGTTGGCAGCCATTGTTTTTGCTTTGAAGATTTGGAGGCATTATCTCTATGGTGAGAAGTGTAAGATCTTCACAGATCATAAGAGTCTTCAGTATCTTTTCACTCAGCATGATCTTAATCTTCGTCAACGAAGGTGGATGGAGTTATTAAGTGATTATGACTGCACTATTGAGTATCATCCGGGTCGTGCAAATGTGGTAGCTGATGCACTGAGTAGGAAACCTCAAGGTCGACTCAATGCTTTGTATGCTTGTCATGTTCCTCTTCTTGCAGATTTGAGAGCTACTGGAGTAAGGTTGGAGTTAGAAGAACAAAGAGAAGCTTTTCTTGCTAGTTTCCAAGTCAGGCCAGTCTCGGTTAATCGTGTACTTGAAGCTCAAATGGTTGATGAAGAGATCTAAGAAATGATTCAATTAAGAAATGAAGGGAAAAAGAAAGACCTCAGGATTCGAGAATCAGATGGCATGCTTATGCAGGAGAACAGAATGTATGTGCCGAATAATGAGGAATTAAAGAAGGAAATTTTGGATGAAGCACATTGTTCGGCTTATGCGATGCATCCAGGAGGAACTAAGATGTACCATACCATTCGACTATTTATTATTGGCCGGGTATGAAGAGGGAAATTGCAGAGTATGTAAGTAGGTGTATTGTTTGTCAGCAAGTCAAAGCTAAAAGAAAGAAGCCTTTTGGTTGGATGCAACCACTTCCCGTTCCTCAGTGGAAATGGGAAAATATAACTATGGATTTTGTGTATAAGTTTCCGCGTACACGAAATGGATTTGAAGGTGTTTGGGTGATTGTAGATCGGCTTACTAAGTCAGCACACTTCATTCCTGTGAGGGAAAAGTATCCTCTGAATAAATTGGCTAAGTTGTTCATCACGAAGATTGTGAAGTACCACGGAGTTCCAGTGAATATTATATCTGATCGAGATCCAAGATTTACTTCTAAGTTTTGGGTAGCTTTTTAGGAAGCTCTTGGTACGAAACTGCTTTACAGCACTGCTTATCATCCTCAAACCGATGGACAATCAGAGAGGACTATTCAGACGTTGGAGGATATGTTGAGATCTTCAGTGTTACAGTTTGGTGATTCTTGGCATGATCGCCTAGACTTGATGGAATTTGCCTACAATAATAGTTTTCATTCGAGCATTGGTATGTCACCATTTGAGGCACTTTATGGTAGAGCTTGTCGCACGCCATTGTGTTGGTCAGAGGTTGGTGAAAGAGTGCTAGAGGGCCCAGAGATTGTGGATGAGACTACTCAAAATGTTCAGGTGATTAAGTCCAACCTGAAAGCGGCCCAAGATCGACAAAAGAGTTTAGCATATAGACATGCTACTGATCGAGTTTATGATGTGGGTAATTTGGTATTCTTGAAATTATCACCTTGGAGAGGTGTAGTGCGGTTTGGAAAGAGAGGCAAACTAAGTCCTAGGTACATAGGACCTTATGAGATCACTGAGAGGATTGGTGAAGTTGCTTACATATTGGAGTTGCCTCTGGAGTTATCTAAGGTACATAATGTGTTTCATGTCTCGATGCTTCGACATTATGTTTCAGATCCTTCACATGTGATTCCTCTTCAACCTTTGGAGATTAATCCGGATTTGACGTATGATGAAGAACCAGTGACTATCTTGGATTGGAAAGACAAGGTTCTAAGGAATAAGACAGTGAGCTTGGTAAAAGTATTGTGGAGGAACCACTTAGTAGAAGAAGCTACTTGGGAGACGGAAGATCGAATGAGAGAGATGTATCCTAGATTGTTTTATGAGTATTAAGTGGCTTGTTTGGTTGCATGAATTTCGAGGACGAAATTCTATAAGGGGGGAAGATTGTCGCAGCCCGTCCCGGGATTTTATTTATCGAGAACGTGAAATGACAGGATTACCCTTGACGGTTACTAAGGTATGTGTGTGTGACATATTATTTGGACTAATTACACATATTCCATAAGCTTTTGGAATTTTTTTTAAGTTAGATTAAAATTTGGGTTGTAAATTTGTGTGGTTAGGGAATGAAGTAGTGATTTGTTTTTGAGTGGACCACACAACACACACACGAGACAACCCTCTCCTTTCCCCCGTGCTCTCTCTCTCTCCTCTCCGTTTCAGTCTCACTCTCTCCCTTTCGAACTGTACCGACCAAAGCACAAAACCCTCAAAACATCGCGGATCGACGCCAAAAAGGTAAGGTTCTTCATCCTTTCGACCTCCTGAGTTGAATGGTACCAGAACGTAGAACCCTCGAAATCACGTTGAAAACCCGAGGTCCGATTTGAGTACTGTTCATGCATTTGTGATGTGTTGATTTTCAAGGAATTCTAAACTTATAGTGAGCTTAGTGAGGTCCTAAGGAAACTCGGAGTACTTAGTTTGAAGGTTTTGGAAGTCGGGATTGTTGAGTTCAAAGTTGGCCGGTTTTCTTGGAATTTTTCCGGTGAGATTTCGTAGTTTTTAGAGCCTTAAAGTAGTGTAACATGAATCTACATGCTTAGGGCATCATTTTGACATAAAATACGTGAAAAATGGTTGAGAAATGACAGAGAACAAGGAGATTGAAAAATCTCCAGTTTTCCGGCCACCGGAAAAACCAGTCCGGTGAGCCCAAGGTAGGAGACGTGCGTGGGGACGCGTAGACTCGTGCCCATGCCGGCGCGTGGGGGCGCGTGCAGCCTTATAATTTTTTTCTAAAAATACCTCGACATCCGTGACGTCGAGTAGGTCACTGTGGTATTCATATATCCAAATTGAGCACCGTATGAGAAGTTATTACGAATTGTCGGTTATGTGCTTTAATTAACATTTTTATAGTTGTTTCGCATATAGGTGATACCTATCCCGAGGATGAGCGCATCCAGGGACGTCACGGGGGTTACGACCCTTCGACTTATTAGTGAGTGGGCAGTATTTCTGTTTATACCTATATACTATTGATATTTTTCCCAGAAATTGAGTTTAAATGAAAATACGTTTTAAAATGCCATGCATGCATATTATGAAATATATGAATTGATAATTGATGCATATATATATATATGTGAATTGGTGTTGTGGACGCACAGGTAAGTATCAGGTGAGTTTTATGTTATTCATGTGAATCATTGATGATGTAAATTGTGTTGAGAGCTCATAACCTGCACCCCTGGTGTTAGTGCTTATATTATTCACCGCACCGCACGCTCACCTTGGATCCAAGTAGGTGCATGTCGTACAGACCATGGGAGGGTTCCAACATGCTAGTCGTATAGATCACTAGAGGTGGTTCCGACTAATAGGTGATCTTAGATTATGCACGCAGATGGTTGATGAGAGAAGCACTAGAGCGTATTAGTACACCATTCTTGTCGTACAGACTACTTCAGGTAGTTCCGATTTATGTGCAGAGTAGTGCCGTACAGGTCACCGTGGTGACTCCGGTTGGTTTGGGATAATGAGCTATGGAATTAACCGTACAAGACCAACTGCAGGGTCTTCGATTGATTCATTATGTCATCTGTTATATCGATGCATCCATATTCTATTATTGACATTTATAGCATAGCATATTTTCTGGATTTGATAAAGATTGATGATTTGAGATATATGAGGATTTATATACTATTATGTTATTTTCTGGGAAAGTATACAGGTTTTACAGTGAGGGGTTAGAATTGTTTTGAGGAAATGTTTTCGAAAAGCTTTGGTTTTACTGACCCACTCAATTTTGTTTTGCGCTCCTCCAGGTTCTAGTTAGCAGTTGGTGGCTCACGAGGTTTTCTTCGGCGTTCTGACAGACTTCCTGCATGTAGGACTCACTTGCGGGTGTTGTAATTTAATTATAGTCCTACTTGACTGCACCTAGTAGTTATGCTCTGAACTTGTGTACTGCACACTTAAACTCACTCTAGCATGTTAGTTGGATATTATTGCTAGTAGTTGGTTTTTTATTCCTTCGTATTTCTCATATCTTTTGCTTCTGCATTGCACTTTTGGTTACGTCACGCTCACATGACGGCCAGCACGCCTTGATTCTAGGATCGGGGTGTGTCAATACTGTGTTAAAGGTAACCATCCAGCTAAATAGGTCAAGAATAAGAAGAGCCTTGTCATTTCTGTCAAAATACAGCTCCTGAGACAGGTGCATGAGCAATACTAGCACCCCAGATTGTGTATACTGTACAAAATAGGCATGAATTAGCATGAAACAGCAACCAAATTGAAAATAGAATTGGATATCTTCTATTACTCTCCTTGAATATACTGTTTCACAACCCAATAAGTAAGACTACATGTAACCTATTATCTCAGAAAAAATCTTGTCACTGCTAATGATGTAGATAGTGAAGGAAGATGAAATAAAAAACGATATTGAAGGAAGATAATTTAGGAAATAAAATTTTGATGCCGCACGTGTAGTGTGTATAATTGGGACATAAAAAAGACAAAATTTAACCCTTTGAGGATAGGTAAGAACTTTTCACATGATAATTCCTGAAAATGCCTATTCAATTTTCGAACTACACTTGAAAGAGTATTTCACAAAACTTTGAAGAGGAAGGAGAAAAACAACACAGAGATAAATGCACTAACATTGGAAAATGCTCTTTAAAGTATAACCTAATACCTGTGCACTTACAAGCAGTTGAAAGTCTAGTGATATTTCTCAAGAACATACAAAATTCACCAATACAAAGCAATTACCAATATTAGTTGAAGTAATTGGCCATTTACCTCCCATCGTACAAGAGCGGTATTTCCACTAACTAATCTTAAAATATGTCCACAGGTTTTACTGGGAATGACCAGACCTTCAAATCCAGGAACATGCAACGGGAGGTGCGTCTCCACAATTTGAGACCTGTCCTCCCCAAAGGAGCCATTAATCTCAACCAGGGATGATATACCCAGAGACTTATCCAAAAAGTTATACCTGTTGACAGGATGATTACACAACAATGAGAACAACATAATAATTAATTGTTTAGATAAACGAATATAATTAATTGTTACAAAAATTCTTAGTATTATCAAGTTCAACTAATAAAGCAAATACTTCCCGAATGAGGATTTCGATAACCAAATTAAAGTTTAACCCTACACCCATATAGTGATCAGGTCTACACTCATTTTGTTTATCAAAAACCAGAATTTGAACGACCATGCCAAATAATTCTACTCACACACATTCTGCAGGCCAAGTTCCTTCACAAAGTGATGATAAAAGGCGAACTAGTTCCACAGTCCTGAAAGGAAATTCACCCTCTAAGTTGCAAAGAAGAGACCGGATAGGGCCATCAATAAAACTTTCACGATCCCAAAACTGGATACAAAGTGACTCCTGCAAAATTCAGAAGAACTGCCATTTAGAATTGAGTAACAATTACACTATTCAAACAAAAATCACAATTTGAACTTTATAATTATAAAATATTTATATTGAAGTCACAGATGCTGAAATATAACAAGTGTCCAAACCTCTCCCTGATAAATTTTGCAAAGAATATCCAGTATTAACTTCAGAGATTTATCTTCCAGCTGCACAAAACAAGGACAGAAGAAATAAGAAATACATCCAAAAAAATGCTAACAAGGTTTTAGCAGAGGTCCATTATGCATTTACCTGAAGACTGATCGCATAAGAGGCAATAAATGCAGATACAAAAGTTCTCAACACACTACGGTAGCCGTCAGCAGGCCCCTAAAGAAAACAAAACACAAAAATGATCACTCTTTAGGAAATGAAAAGACTGAGGGAAGAGATGCAAAACTCGTTAACACCTCAAGATGGATCCCAAGAGACGAAAAAACCAAGCAGAAAACTTGAACATATGGGGCACCCCTAGAAACTGATCACTCTAAACACATACACTTACAAATTGAGAATAACTTACATCTGGTTCCTTCAATACATCACTTTGAAGGATTTCAACACAATAATTCAACAATGCAGCCTCGAATGCTTGACGAACATAACCAACATGATCAATCTCCTGGAAAATAAAATAAAATAAAACTAAACTAAACACATTAATTATTTGTATTATTCATGCAGACTGGAATCAGAGACAACATATGCACAGAACCACATACCATTAGTACATTGCTCTCTTCACTATCTGGAAGTGACGAAATCAGACAAAGAAACACAGCCCAGGCTAGAATTAATGGACCTGCTTCTTTTGTTTCAAAAGCATTGAATGTTGAAATTATCGCTTCCATCTCTTGGACATCAGCCAAAGTAAAAACAAATGTGCCCTGCCTGAGGAATAACACAAGTGTTCTAACATTTAGAAAAAGAAAATAAGAAAGGATATAGTTAAAGGATGTATAAACTGGAAATTTTAATAATGGACACAAAGAACAGAGCCAACAATAGCATATAAGCCCTACGGAATCAACCATTGATTAGAATGATACTGATGAAGCTTAACAGTTTGCATTTTAATAAATAAAAAGAAAGTTACCCAGCACAATTTAGCTTATCTATATCCATAGTTGCCTTCATGGCATTTTAAAATTGCAAATAAGATTATCCTATGGTCCTCCGATTGCAAACCTAAAAATATAGATTGTCCTGAATTCCCAGTCACAGTAGCATCACAGGCTTGGCTAAAAGCATGCTTATAGATCAGATAGTAGTGAAGGTTCACTCAAATCAGGATTCTGTAGTTTGGGTATGGAAACGTTCGACCTTGTAATGGGTCAGTGATTCTTAGTTATATAAAAGTATCAATCATATTGCATTCACATGAAAAAAATAATAATAAAAGAACAAAATCGTATGTGCTTGGTTTTCATGGTTAGCAGAATTTTCTGACCCGATAGAAACCAATACTTAAATCCACCTTTGTTATTTTAACTCGGTCCTGTCTAAATTACAACACCATGTCTTAAAGATGAGGCAAACTAAAGGCATGGGGCGTCTGCCTTACAAGTGGATTCCACCTCAGGACAGTTCATCCCTTGGTCTCCGCCAAAAGGAATCTTCATTGAGTAATGACATAAGCCAAAAAATATTGCAACAAATGTGAACTCCACAATTTAGATATTTAATGCAAAAATCAACAATTTGACCAAAGATATTTACTGTCACTAGATCATGACTTGCAGAGTAAATACATAGATGCATCCTAACTAGCTAAGAACCTGAAAGGGATTGCATCATGAACCATCTGGAGAAGACTTTCCAGGTCCAGGGTTTCTATAAGGATTAGAAGCAGCTGGAATTTTGTTTGATAAGAAGAACGTAGTGCTTCAGTTGATACTGCCAGCTTTTCAAAGTTATAAGACCCAGATAAAATTCCCTGCAGGAAAAATGTATTGAGCTTGGACTGGATAAGAGAGTACTTCATAAATGAATTCTGTGACGAAGATAACAAAATACCTTATAGAGCACGCACAAAGTTTTCCACCTTTCACCATTACAAGTACAAAATGACTCATAATAAGCAGGGAAAAGAATGTCCAAAACCAAATTGTCTTCAATTAGTGTCTCCTCAGCCCACAAAGTGAAAAGATCAATATCCTAATAAAACAACCAGACAAGATAACATCAGGTTTTGTAACAAATACATAATTATTCAATCCCAAAAAAATGTGCATGTAGACGTGTACACATATGTCGAGACGCGTATTTGTACATGGGCATCAACGTAATTTCAAATATAAATAGGAAACTTTAGATTGTCAAGTATGATAGGATAGTCCCACTTGCTGAAGCTAAAATTTGTTTCACATCTTCTGTCCTACAGCCTCGCATGAATGTAAGACAGGGACAACTAAATAGATGTTCCCCACCCAAATATATGTTTCTTAGGCTACTGCACATCACATGCGAGCAGAGACTTGATAGTTGTTAATAACTGGCTTTAAACTTCCCCCAACTGTGTCATAGCAATGACTCCCACAGTCCAATTAGGGTGCGTTTGTTGCGCCGGACTGTCTCGGACTGGACTAGCTGCCGAGACTAAGCTGGACTGGCTTAGACTGGACTAAGCTGGACTAACTTAGTGAAGCGTTTGGTGCAGTCTCGGACTAAGAAGCAGGATAAGAAAAACAGTACTGTTCACCAGATTTGTGTTTGCTTAGACTAGGACTACAAATTTTTGCCATTGTGTAATAGAGTAATGCTACAAATCTCATGATATGGGTTAATTGGAGCATATTTTTGCCATGTATATTATGAATCTTAAAAAAAAAATTGACAATTGTTTTGTTTCTATTACCTGCTAATAGAATTGGGTTTAATTTGCAAATGTAGCTTGAAGAGTTAAGACTGAAAATGCTCCTAACAATTTCTTTCCATGTCCTTCTTGCTCATTAAGCATAATTCTATGCTCATTCACATTATGCACAACCAGTGGCGGAGCCAGGAATCTTACCACAAGGGGTCGTAGTGTAAAAGTCCAGAAAAAAAATTTAGGATGGAAATGTTAAAGTTAATGCTTTACTTAAACTGATTATGTGTAAAAGGGCTGACTGTTGCCTTTATCAGTTGACCCATTCTATTTATCAGTCGACCCATTCTATTTATCAGTCGACCCAATTACTTCAGTCGGTTTATGTATTGAACTAGGGCTGACTGTTGCCTTTATCAGTCGACCCATTCTATTTATCAGTCGACCCATTCTATTTATCAGTCGACCCAATTACTTCAGTCGGCTTATGTATTGAACTAATTCTGTGTAAAAGGGCTGACTGTTGCCTTTATCAGTCGACCCATTCTATTTATCAGTCGACCCATTCTATTTATCGACCCATTCTATTTATCAGTCGACCCATTTTATTTATCAGTCGACCTAGAGTAAATTCAATCGATCTAAAGTAACTCCTAAATACATGCAGAATCATTTTATTACTCAATGCATAATCAGTTTGTTACTTCATGCAGAATCAGTTTGTTACTCAATGCAGAATCAATTTGTTACTTCATGCAGAATCAGTTTGTTACTCAATGCAAAATCAGTTTGTTACTATTATATACTATATCAAATTTTATTATTAAAAAAAGTATATAAAATATTTGATTTGGGACAAGGGCATTTTAGTAATCATACTGGTTTATATTCCGATTCTGCTGAATTAGTAAACAGCTTTATGGAATTGTATTCCGATTCCAGACAGTTTTAGTAAACAATTTCAACAAGAATCTGATTCTGATTCCACCTCATTTCAATTCCTCCTCAATCAAATTCCTCCTCAATCCGATTCCTCTCAATTTGATTACGGATTAGTAAACGCGCTATAATAGTGGCCAATACATGCAACTTCAACAAAATACAAGTACATAAGATCTCCATAATTTAGAAAATCCTAGTTAACATTAGTTAACATTAGCCAAAATAGATCTCTATAATTTACAAAATGGCTAGTTAACATAAGCCAAAATACTAGTGCAAAGCTAAGTTATAAGTCATAAGATAAGATTGTATGATTAATAAAATACATCCATGTTAACGTTAATAAAATACATCCATGTTAACATTAGCCAAAATCCTCATCCGCTTGCGTTGTCGCTTAAAAGCCTTTGGACGAACACTTTCTTGAGTTCCGGTTTGATTGCCCTGAACACTCCCACATTTTTTGGTTTATCCAAAATAAGAGACAATGCATCAATTTGATCCATAGGAGAGATACCCATTTCTCCAAGTTCATTAGCTATGTCAGTATGATCTGCAGTACCTTGAACTAAAGCTTCAGTTACCATTTGCATCCTCTTCCCACTTTCAACATAAAAATCTTTCAGTCCACTGATAATTGCCTCGGTTCCATCACTTGAACTTCCCACAGCTCTTTTCCTCTTTCTTTGGCTATTTTCAGATGGGGTGCTTTGTTGGCTTTGTTGGTTCATTGAAGAAACAAAATTTTCACCTCCAATATCACTTTCACCAACATGATCATGACTTTGTTCCTCCACCATTTGAGCAGGGGTTTCGGCTACATTACCCGTAGCCCGATCTTTTCCAAAATATATATGCAAATCTATCAAACAGTGGAAAAGGTTTGCTTCTTCTCCATCCATCGGCTTCTTTATTTCTCTAAGATTATATCAACATAGCAAAACTAAAATTTAGCATGCGTAACAAATATAGGAGCAAGAATATAACTAATGCATAAATAAAATAGGATATGAACCTGCACATAAGTTTGCCATGCGTCATCACTGTCAACTTCAACGCACTTTTTAACATCATTCCATGCAAATCCACTTGTGTTTATCATGTCAACGACCATACTATATGTTTTTTTCCATTTCTTCAACTTGGACTCAATATGTGGATTTGCCTTTATATTTGAATGAGGACATAAAACATTGATAGCTTTTGCTATTTCAACCAAAATACCTTGTTTGAAAGCACCGGTGTCACACCGTTGCTTCCGAGCAACAAAATCCTCAAGAACTCCTAGTAATACTTCTTCCTCAAATGCTTCCCATTTACGCCTTCTTCCTTTTGCCTCTTGAGTAGCATTCAAAATATTTTCGTTATCCATACCTAAACAAAAAATATTTTAATGAAGGAAAATACCATACAAATAATCAATTTAAATAATATCCAATCAACTTGCATAATATCCAATTAATTTGCATACCATCCAATCATTGTGCTAATATCTAACAAATGCATGATAAAAAGGAATACTAAAATAAAATGTTATCATTAAAACATATAGCTAGTTCGGTTGCTGGTTCCTAATTGCTCTCCACTCATTATACATTTCCTGAGCCATATCATTCCTCATTGCAGTCCACTGGTTCGATGTTTGAACACTACCAACATATTCACCTTCTTCTGTATTTTGTCCATCTTCTATTATTGGCAAATTCTCCATTGGATCTACTGACATCTCTTGCCTAATAAGATTGTGTAGTAGGCAACAAGCAGTAATTATTCGACCTTGTGTCCTTATCGGATAGAAAGATGGACTCCTTAGTATCGACCACCTTCCTTTTAGCAAGCCAAAACAGCGTTCAATTACATTCCTTGCCTTAGAATGCTTCATGTTAAAATATTCTTCCTTATTAGAAGGTGTTCGTCCCTCCCATTCAGATAAATGATAAGGTATTCCTCTATAGGGTGCAAGGAATCCTTCACCATTTGTATAACCACCATCTACAAGGTAATAACAACCTAATGAAAAAAAAAACAGACCTTATTAGTGTTTTGTAGTTGACAAACATAACTAAACCTAACTTAGAAAGTTGAGACTAAGTAATAGTCTTACCCGCTGGTACCTTAAAACCATTAGGCCTACTAATTGCATCATGTAGCACTCTAGAGTCTGATGCGGAACCCTCCCACCCCGGAAACACATATATGAACTGCATATCTCCTGAACACACACCTAACACATTAGTTGCGACTCGACCCTTTCTTGTTCGGTATCTTGGTTTGTCAATTTCAGGTACATGCACATCAATGTGTGTTCCATCCAATGCTCCCAAGCAATTCTTAAAATAAAAATAAAAAACTTTTTGTTAATTTATACAAAGGGAATGAAGAGTTAAAGCTTAGGGAAAATGAAAAAAATTTCTCATCATACCTTAAAACATCGCCACCTAGCATCTGTAGAATCAATAGGCACAGGCTGGGGGACTTTTAGTAGAATACCTTGTAATCGCAAAATTCCTTGCAATACTCTATTGAAATACCTACTTATAGTCTCTCCCGACCTATAAAATCTACCGCCAACACTACGATTCTTAGTATGATGTGCTAATATTTGTAAAGTCATACACACCTGTTCCTCTACAGACACCAAACCATCAGTTTTTACCCTCCCATCTTGACGAAGTAAGTCGCATAATATGCCAAAAGTCCTTCTATCCATTCTCAATTCGTTAACACATTCAGTATCAGTATTCCCTATTATACCATTCAGATAACACAAACTAATCTCTCGTCTAATAAGTGAACGGTTAGTCAATGTGGGTCGTTCAACATGTCTCTGTTTGCCACGTAGCATCATCACCACAAGAATCGTACAAATACAAATTGTCTCCAAGTAAGACATCTCTAACAATAAGATCAATAAAAGCTTCCTTCGATCCATATCTATCCAAACAAAAAAAAAAACAAAAAACAAATTCAGGACATTATATATGTAATATTTACTGTTATTAAGGGTGATGGAAATGAAGTGATTATGATACGAAATGAACTAGATCAAAGTAACTAGCGAAGTCACAATCCGAGGCATCAAATATACGGGTGGTGTTGGAAAAAAAAAAAGTTATCATTAACCCGAGGCAACAAATATACAGGTGGCGTTGAAAAAAAAAAGTTATCATTAACCCGAGGCATCATATTCAAAATGTTCTACTCTTATATATCTATAAACATGTGTCTAAGAACACTAGTATGAGGATTGCTATCATTGCTAGGCATTGCATGTGAAGAGGGAAATTAAAGGACACCTGTAATGCAGTAGCCTTAGCCTTAGCCTTCCGTTTATGCTCCTCTTCTCTGCAACCAACAACCACAAAAAAATGCAATTCAGCATCAACCCCACACAATACAAAACATTCACATTGTAATATCATGGTTATAAACCAAGTACAAAGCACAGACACTCACACTCACTGCACACACACACACACACTGCATACACACACACACTGCACACACACACACTGCATACACACTGCACACACACTCACACTCACTGCACACACTCACACTCACTGCACACACACACACACTGCATACACACACTCACTGCACACACACACACACACACTGCACACACACACTGCACACACTCACACTCACTGCACACACACACACACTGCATACACACACACTGCACACACACACACTGCACACATACTGCATACACACACACTGAATGTACGACATTCAAGATTCCCCAAGTTTAACACAACAACAACTCCCGTCTCACAAAATTCAGGAATGCTAATGAGTCTTATTTCCATGTATACCAACAAAAGTCCCTGTTACATACATAGAAGGTGAAAGCACATGCCCAGAAAACTTAACACTTCCACTGGACATCATAATTAAGCTTTAGACAAAAGAAGTAAGCATGAAACAAGGCAACTATATCAAAAGAAGTAAACTCCATCAATATGTTGTCCTAGTCTTAAGTATATTGCTTTATATGAAAATATGTAACCGAAACTCCATCAATAGAATCAGCAGGGGTCTCAACAATAGCACAATATTTTTAGAGCAAAGGCTTTGGATTCATTTAGTTGTAAACTTATTCAATAGAATCTATTCCTTTTTAATTTGCATATTTATAATTCCTTTCTATTTCCTAACAAGATCAAAAGGCACAAACAAAAGCTTACCCTATGCGAACACAAGAGTACCGATCATTGGCTTGTTCTAGGTCACTTCACAACAAGTCAACACTGAGATTGTCCAATATAGGGAAAGTTTCTAAATAGTTGTTAACCTTTATTGTATTTATCTTTTATATGTCGACCTTTCTAGTATGTCTGATAACAAGAAACAATTAACCTTAGGAAGTCAAGAGACGAAATGCTCAAAAGCGCTGTTTCCTCTTTAAATCAAAATTCGAATCAAACTGTTTAAAAGAAAATGAGATCAACCGTTAACATTGAATCATTTTCACTAAGTTGGTTTTAAGTAAGCATCTGAAGAATGCATATACTTAAAGACAGAAATCTGAGTTCAAATGCCTAGAGGTGTTGAAAACCAAGATCAGACATGAATGGCCAACCATTTCACACCCACTCACTCATCTCACACTCACTCACGAATTTTAGACACATAACGAAACAAGACAAGAGCTCCAACCTCAACATAGCATACCAATTCCTACTTACATTACCAATAAGGAAGCCTCTACATGCATGGTACCAGTAAAAAATGGACCGCCAATCCAACACAATAAAATAACAAAATGAGGTGTGAACGAACAAGTAAAAGCCACAAGTGTTAGATACAATACATAGTCACAATCACAACTAGACTATTTCTAACAAGTTACAGAGGAAAATTTCCTCTTTCACAATCAAAGCTCAAAAAGGCGCTACACCTAGAAATGATGATTCTACTTAATAGAAAACTATAATCATGTTGTAACTAGTGGCTGCATCCCTGAGGATCTGGCAAACCTAGTAACACCACCACTTTGAAGAAATTAGATAACGAAATACCTCATAGAAGTAAATCCTCACCACCAAATATATATATATATATATAATATATAGTTAGTTGTGTTCGTTGAGAGAACAAGCATCGGTAAGGACCTACACGATACTTGGTACTTCTCTTGTGCCACAAGTACATACTATATGGTGAAAGGAAGGGATGCTGATACTGTGCTCAAAACCATAAAATTGAAGAAAAAAAAACTAAAATTATCCACAAAAATTGACAATCTTTCTAATCAAAATTCAAAATTATTTCTGAACAACAAGGATAACACCATTTTCTCGCAAACATCAACCGAACAACTAAGTTAACCCTGTGACCCTATGGGACCAGATGAAACTAATGCAATGGCAATGGTAAAAGCATCATATTGTATCACGATTATACAAAGCTACAACAAAACTGCAATCCCAGTGGACATTAAAAATGACTGATGCACTCACAGCTATCAACTACTATATCATCTCAAACTAGACTGTCCAAATAGGCAAGGGGGCTAGAGAATTCACTTAATATATGGAAAATAATGGTAGATCAAAAGATCGAACATTGAAATCATAACTGATTTTGATTTCTTCAAATTATAAGAAGGTATATCATAAATAAAAGGATTATACGAGGAATCAATCAGAACCCATTAATAATGTCATAGATTTTGAACCCAAAACAACAAAATCGATCAGAACCCAATAATAATTTCACAATCTACAAAACAAAATCATAGAAATAGGTCGTCGGATTTGGAATTTACCAGATGAGGACGAGCAGGACGAGGGAGTAGGACGAGCGAGGAGGATCAGCGAGGAGGAGGACCGACGAGAAAGACGACCAAGAATGAGGAACGAGCAACGCTCTCAAAGAAGGGCTTAGCAATCCCGTGAGAATTGGGGTTCTCGCTAAGAACTTTTAGCGAAGGGGTTAGTCGGAGCGAGTACCGGCTAATCCCATTAAACTTAATTCCCGTGCGAAACAAACACTAGACTATAGTCCAGTCCAGTCCAATGAAACTTAGTGAGCCCAAACAAACACACCCTTAGGTCACTACAACCTCAGTTTTACTTAACATAACCTCCTTCAACACACTATCTCAAATAACAATATGAAAACCTAGTAAAAGATAAAATACCAAAGAGTTACCTTGTCCATTGTGTCAGCTTCCTGTCCCCCACTACTGACATTGTAGCCAAAGATGGTCAACAATGCAGTAAGATGTAATTTTGATGTCAATGAACTTCATAATTTGGCATAGCACATCCCATAAAAACGAAAAGATCAAAAGGGCGCCTGAAGCGGGGAAAACAACCTAATTGCTACACTAGGGAGTAGGGATTTATAAACTTAAGGGGTAATATCATATTTTCCATCTAGTTTAGAAGACTCAAAATCAAACAAAGTCCGTTCTTGAATTGGGATTTATGCATACCATTTGTTCAGGGTGATCGGAGGAGAAAGGACTTGCAGCACATTTATCAGCTTCGCCTCCATTCCGTCAGAAATCAACTTTAGTACTTCCTCCTTAATAGCATTAGCTTCTCCAGAGACGCTTCCAAAAGACACTGTATTAATGACCAATTCTCAAACATTTGTTGAAGTTCAGCTCTAAAAATGTATCCATGATGCCATAGAAAGTTTAAATGGAGGGTGGGATTGATGATTGACTTACAAGCATGTGTGAGAATACTCCTCGTGCACTTCAGCAGGCACTGGCGTTCAACGTAATAGTGAATAATCACCTGCATGAGGGAATAGAAGGGGGAAAACAGAAACAAATTAAGTGAGACAGACCACTAGCTATAAATGTCCCTCTTCTTTTTTCTTTCCCTTTTGTGGTAAAAAAGTGTACCCTATTCCATGGCTAGTTGTATCCGAAAAGTAGCAAAAGAGGTATTAGGAGAGTCCAAGGGCTTTGCCCCACACCAAAAGGAATCTTGGTGGTGGAATGAGGAGGTACAAACAAAGGTGAAGGCTAAGAAGGAATGTTGTAAAGCCTTATACAAGGAGAGGACTGATGAAAATGGTGAAAGGTATAGAAAAGCGAAGCAAGAGGCGAAGAAAGCTGTCAGAGAAGCTAAGTTAGCGGCTTACGACGATATGTATAAACGACTAGATACCAAAGAAGGAGAGTTGGATATCTATAAACTATCTAGAGCAAGGGAAAAGAAGACAAGGGACCTAAACCAAGTGAGGTGCATCAAGGATGAGGATGGAAAGGTTCTTGCTACAGAGAACGCGGTTAAAGACAGATGGAGAGGTTATTTTCATAATCTTTTCAATGAAGGACATGAAGTGAGTGCTTCTTTAGGGGAGTTGAGTAACTCAGAAGAGTGTAGAAACTACTCTTTTTATCGTCGAATCCGGAAGGAAGAAGTGGTTGTAGCTTTGAAGAAGATGAAGCATAAAAAAGCAATAGGCCCAGACGATATACCAATCGAAGTGTGGAAACTTTTGGGAGAGACAGGTATAACATGGCTCACTGACCTTTTCAATAGGATTTTGAAAACGAAGAAGATGCCAAATGAGTGGCGAATGAGCACTTTGGTGCCTATCTACAAGAATAAGGGCGACGTACAAAATTGCATGAACTATAGGGGTATTAAGCTAATGAGTCATACAATGAAGCTCTGGGAGAGAGTCATTGAGCATAGATTGAGGCAAGAGACACGGGTTTCGGACAACCAATTCGGGTTCATGCCAGGGCGCTCAACCATGGAGGCAATCTATCTCTTACGAAGATTGATGGAAAGATATAGAGATGGGAAAAAGGATTTACACATGGTCTTTATAGATTTGGAAAAAGCGTATGATAGGGTCCCAAGAGACATTCTTTGGAGGATTTTAGAGAAGAAAGGAGTACGAGTAGCATATATCCAAGCTATAAAGGATATGTATGAAGGAGCAAAGACTGCCGTAAGAACTCATGAAGGACAAACCGAAAGCTTTCCCATAACTGTAGGATTACATCAAGGCTCATCCTTAAGTCCTTACCTTTTTGCGTTGGTAATGGATGAGTTAACACGACATATTCAAGATGATATTCCTTGGTGTATGCTTTTCGCAGACGATATAGTGTTGATAGATGAAACTCAGGAAGGGGTAAATGCAAAGCTTAACCTTTGGAGAGAAGTGTTGGAATCTAAAGGTCTTCGCCTAAGCCGATCAAAGACAGAATATATGGAGTGCAAGTTCAGTGCAAATGGAGGCCAAAACGAGTTAGGGGTGAGGATCGGAGATCAAGAAATACCAAAGAGCGACCGTTTTCGTTACCTAGGATCTATCTTGCAAAAGAACGGAGAATTAGATGGAGATCTCAACCATAGAATACAAGCTGGATGGATGAAGTGGAAGAGTGCATCCGGCGTGTTGTGTGACCGCCGTATGCCACTGAAGCTCAAGGGAAAATTTTATAGGACGGCAATAAGGCCGGCGATGCTGTATGGCACAGAATGTTGGGCGGTGAAACATCAACACGTACACAAAATGGGTGTAGCGGAGATGAGGATGCTTCGTTGGATGTGTGGGCACACGAGAAAGGATAAGATTAGGAATGAGGATATCCGGGGTAAAGTAGGAGTAGCCGAAATTGAAGGAAAGATGAGAGAAAATCGGTTACGGTGGTTTGGACATGTGCAAAGAAGGCCTACTGACGTTCCGATTAGAAGATGCGACTATGGGACAGAGGTTCAGGGCCGAAGGGGTAGAGGAAGACCTAGGAAAACTTTGGAAGAGACTCTAAGAAAAGACTTAGAGTACTTGGATCTAACGAAGGACATGACACAGGATCGAGCACAATGGCGTTCTAAGATTCATATAGCCGATCCCACTCAGTGACTTGGATTTTCCAAGTCTCCAACCGAGAAGTTTTCCTCACTCGGGAAATTAAGGGAACACTACCCCAACCTACATGCTCCACTCAGAAAGCTTCAACATACAAGCTTTAACAAAAGAAAATTCAAAGAACTTAGCGAAGAAGGCTTTGGTGTATTTAACACAATACGTTGAAATGAAGGAAAGCTTATTTATTGATATCCCCGATAAGCTACAAATATGTACATATACATGAGTCAAAATAAGCACACAAGAGGGAGCCTTCACAAAGGTTGCTTAGGAGAAGTCTCAGCAGTCGGTAGAGCCCCAGAAAGAGAAGGCACCGGAGGGGGATCATTTGGAGCCTCAGTACTGGACAGAACCCTAGAAGGAGGAGGCATCAGAGGTTGATCATTTGGAGCTTCATTACGCGGTACAGCCCCAGAAGACGAAGGCAATAAATGCCTTTGGAACAAACCCACAAATCTCTGATGATCAAGTAAAACCTGACCATCAGTTTCCTTCATCTGGTCAAGCTTCCTCTTCATGTTTGTAGCATAGTCATGTGCGAGCCGGTGCAACTGTTTATTCTCATGCTTGAGCCCTCTAATCTCCTGTTTGAGACTCATCACTTCAGCCGCCAATGATTCAACTTGGCGGGTTCGAGCAAATAGGCGTTGGGCCATATTAGACACAGAACCTGCACACTGAACACTGAGAGCCAGCGAATCCTTAACAGCTAACTCATCAGACCGTTTGGAAAGTAGTCTGTTATCTTTGGGAGTGAGAAGGTTCCTGGCCACCACCGCAGCGGTCATATCATTCTTCATCACGGAATCCCCAACGGTAAGAGGACCAGTAGGGGAGACGAAGGATGGGCGCCATATGTTGTCTGGAGAAGGCGGGGCTGCCTCTTCAACAAGGTTCAAGTCAAAACGACGGTCGGAGGGGCCAGACATTTTCAAAGGTGTTGAAGAGAGAAGAGGTCGGACAAATCAAGATCTTAGAAGTGCAAGAATGAAGCTTCTACTGGTGGAGATTCAAGTGTGCTTTGGAACTTAATGCCAGCCCCTATAAAAATCTGCACTCGACGAAGCTTCAGAAATCGAAGAGGCGCCTGCTCAGAAATCGAAGAGGCGTTTTGCTTTCTCAAAAGCTGGGCTGCTTAGAGATCACGAGGGTTGATCTCAGAAATCGAAGAGGCGTTTGCTTTCTCAAAAGTTGGGCTGCCAAAAGACCACGAAGGCCGATCTCAAAAATCGAAGAGGCGCTCGCTTTCTCAAAAGCTGGGCTCCCCAGAGACCACGAGGGCCGATCTTAGAAATCGAAGAGGCACCTACTTTTCCAGCCTTTTCCAGCCTTGTCAGCACCTGTCACACGCACACTCAGTTTTGCGGAAATTATGGGCATTCTGTCAAAGACTTCTGGGGAAGTAGAAAACACATGAATCTTACTGTTCAATCACCCACTTCCCATACGCAACAATAGCTCATGGGTACCACACAGATAACTTTGCCAAAGTTCTCTGCCAAAGTTGAGCACGTGAAGCTTGCAGCTCCCACTACATCGCTCTGACCAAGAAGGGTAAAAGAATAGCAAAGAAACAGCACTAACAAAGTTTAGACCCATAAATTTTGAAGGTCTAGCTACCATATTATTACCCACAAGGGTAAAGGAACAGTACCACTGCTGGATAATTGGAAAGTCCCTGTGTGTCAACCTCTGTGCTTCGTGGCAAGGTAGACTAGCAAACATGCCCAACCTTTACTCACATTCGAGAAAACACTCCCAATAAGATTGCTTGCTCCAAAATCGAAGAGGCACCGTCCTCCGAATCTCGAGAGAGCCAGACTCCTAACATGACTACTTTCTTAAAAATCGAAGAGAGGGTAAAGGAACAGTACCATTGCTGGATAATTGGAAAGTCCCTGTGTGTCAACCTCTGTGCTTCGTGGCAAGGTAGACTAGCAAACATGCCCAACCTTTACTCACATTCGAGAAAACACCTCCCAACAAGATTGCTTGCTCCAAAATCGAAGAGGCACCGCCCTCCGAATCTCGAGAGCCAGACTCCCAACATGATTACTTTCTCAAAAATCGAAGAGACACTGCTCCCCGAATCTCGAGAGCCAGACCCCCAGCATGATTGCTTTCTCAAAAATCGATGAGGCATCGTTTCTCCGAATCAATCGAAGAGGCGCTCGCTTTCTTTCTCAAAAGCTGGGCTGCTCAGAGACCACGAGGGCCGATCTCAGAAATCGAAGAGGCACCTACTTTTCTAGCCTTGTCAGCACCTGTCACACGCACACTCAGCTTTGCAGAAATTATGGGCATTCTGTCGAAGACTTCTGGTGAAGTAGAAAGCACATGAATCTTACTGTTCAATCACCCACTTCCCACACGCAACAATAGCTCATGGGTACCACAAATAACTTTGCCAAAGTTGAGCACGTGAAGCTTGCAGCTCCCACTACATCGCTCTGACCAAGAAAGGTAAAAGAATAGCAAAGAAACAGCACTAACAAAAGTTTAGACACATAAATTTTGAAGGTCTAGCTACCATATTATTACCCACAACTGTAAAGGAACAGTACCACTGCTGGATAATTGGAAAGTCCCTGTGTGTCAACCTCTGTGCTTCGTGGCAAGGTAGACTAGCAAACATGCCCAACCTTTACTCACATTCGAGAAAACACTCCCAATAAGATTGCTTGCTCCAAAATCGAAGAGGCACCGTCCTCCGAATCTCGAGAGCCAGACTCCCAACATGACTACTTTCTCAAAATCGAAGAGAGGGTAAAGGAACAGTACCATTGCTGGATAATTGGAAAGTCCCTGTGTGTCAACCTTTGTGCTTCGTGGCAAGGTAGACTAGCAAACATGCCCAACCTTTACTCACATTCGAGACAACACTCCCAACAAGATTGCTTGCTCCAAAATCGAAGAGGCACCGTCCTCCGAATCTCGAGAGCCAGACTCCCAACATGATTACTTCCTCAAAAATCGAAGAGACACTGCTCTCCGAATCTCGAGAGTCATACCCCCATCATGATTGCTTTCTCAAAAATCGAAGAGGCATCGTTCTCCGAATCTCGAGAGCCAGATACCACAGACCACTTTTTCAAAGTGCTCTGACAGAGTTAAAACAAGTGAAACTGGCAGCTCCCACTACCGTGCTATGACCAAGCAGGGTAAAGGAATAGCATTATTACTTGTTGTTAGGGAGACTCCTATATATGTCGACCTCCATCCCCAACGGACAGGCAGACCTGCAAAAATGCTCAACCCTTCATCATATCTGAGAGGGCACTCCCAACGAAGCCTTTCGAAATATTCAGCTTTCTTTCCCCCCGATAATACCTCTGCAAACAAGCTATACTAGAGCAAGAATATCTCATATCATCAGGGTTAAAAGCAAGAGTATCCCATATCATGCTTTTTCCCTGTCTTTTCTTTTGGCCTTGTTTTTACCTGCAAGACAAGGAGAAAGAGAGCAATCAGTCAGCACTTGGAATCAAGCTTCCAGCCAGGAACTGACTGCCTGGAACCCCTTACCTGATTACTTACCTGGCATTGCTCTCGAGTACTCATCTTCAACATCTTATGTTTCCAGGGAAGATTCCGCATCTGCTTGAGGAACAGATAGGGCAAGTGCGAAGGATACAAGGAAGCATGTGGAGACAAGCGTAACAGCACACGTGCCGATACATTCATTACTCTGTCAAAAGCAAAAGTATCCCATATCAGCAGGGTGGAACGTACTCTAGATTTGATGGACTTGTTTTGACCCTCAAATTCTTCAGTCGGCCTTATACTCTGGAGGAAACCAGAAAACCCTCCAGCTCAGTTCAAGAATAAGCCTGTGGAAAGTTACTTCTTCAAAAGCAAAAGTATCTCATATCATCTCTTCTCATTTTTCTTCTCTTTATCCTTCATGCTGCTGCAAGATGGGGAGAAGGTGAACAATCAGTCGGAGCTCTGATTGCTTACCTTGTCTGTCACCTCTTTCAGCAGACCCCCTAGCTCGGCGACTTGGGGGACTCCTACTACATGGTTTGTATCGCGCTTGACCAAGCCTGAAACTACAAGTAAGCTTCAAGTGAAATTGATACATTACCTTGTGCATCTCCACCAGTTAAAGATACCACCCCTGGATGGAGGAAGAGTACTTCCAGAGAAGATGCCACATCTACCTATGAGACAGATAAGGCAAGTCAAGACGACACCACACTCCGATACTTAGAAGTTTCGTGATTACGAGATCATTCTCCCACAATATTTCCTAATGTCATTTGTACTAAATCATTCACTTGTACTCACTAAATGAGAGCTTGAACCTATGTACTTGTGTAAACCCTTCACAATTAATGAGAACTCTTCTATTCCGTGGACGTAGCCAATCTGGGTGAACCACGTACATCTTGTGTTTGCTTTCCTATCTCTATCCATTTATATACTTATCCACACTAATGACCGGAGCAATCTAGCGAAGATCACAAAAAGCGATCGTTTTCGCTACCTAGGATCTATCTTGCAAGAGAACGGAGAATTAGATGGAGATCTCAACCATAGAATACGAGCTGGATGGAAAGAGTGCATCCGGCGTGTTGTGTGACCGTCGTAGGCCACTGAAGCTCAAGGGAAAATTTTATAGGACGGCAATAAGGCTAGCGATGTTGTATGGCACAGAATGTTGGGTGGTGAAGCATCAACACGTACACAAAATGGGTGTAGCGGAGATGAGGATGTTTCGTGGGATGTGTGGGCACACGAGAAAGGATAAGATTGGGAATGAGGATATCCGAGGTAAAGTAGGAGTAGCCGAAATTGTAGGAAATATGAGAGAAAATCGGCTCCGGTGATTTTGAACATGTGCAAAGAAGGCCGACTGACGCTCCGGTTCGAAGATGTGACTACGGGACAGAAGTTCAGGGTCGAAGGGGTAGAGGAAGACCTAGGACAACTTTGGAAGAGACTCTAAGAAAAGACTTAGAGTACTTGGATCTAACGGAGGACATGACACAAAACCGAGCGCAATGGCGTTTTTGGATTCATATAGCCGACCCCACTTAGTGGGAAAAGGCTTTGTTGTTGTTGTTGTTGTTGTTGTATTTATGTAAGCAGCAAATAATTTCGTTTGCACCGAGCTCATCCAACCCTCACACCAAGTACTTAGAACATAGGAACTGTTATAGCATCCAACACTCATATCAGCCAGGCAATGAGAGAGATACTAACTGCATGAAAATACTCGTGCAGTATAGAGTCAAGAGCTACATCTTTGTTCTCAAGAGACCTTTCAACAAGAATGTACAATTGCACCTCATCCAGACACTGAGACAAACAACAAAATAAGTTTCGTAGCAAATGGAGAATCAATGACCATCATTATGTTATACAGAATATCATTATCTATCTGCTTCCAACAACATGAGAACATGTAATTAAATCAGCCAAGCAGCACCCAATTGTTGAAAATGTTATACAGAATATCATTATCTATCTGCTTCCAAAAACATGAGAACATGTAATTAAATCAGCCAAGCAGCACCCAATTGTTGAAATTTTGCATGTGGATCATTCCAAGCTCAGAAAAAGTCCCATTATAACATATTTCATTATTCCTAAACTGCTTGATTAGTTTTACAAGTCAGTAATTGAGACTCGAAAACGAAATCAAAGTTCTCGCTGAGCCCGAAAGCAAAAAACAAAAACTTTTACACTAGGCCGAAGTTCAAATTCGGAATTTTAGTTGATTTGAAAATCCAAAATGTATGTATATATATCCACCAGATGTACACACATTTTAGAAGTAAAAGTGGGATAAAAGCAGCAGTACAAACTCACCAAATAGGAGCTGATTTTCAAAGCTTTATCTTTCAATTCAGGCTTTATATTCAACTGATGAGACCCAATTTTCATTTGCTGTGAATTCAAAGCCTCCCTCGAATTCTCATTGGGCGGCTTGAAGCAAGACACTGTGTCCACGAACCATGCATGATTGTCCTTCAATGTCTTTACCTTAGTAAAATACCAATCAAGTTCAAAACTTTTCATACATTTTTATTCATGTATATATATATATATATATAGAGAGAGAGAGAGAGAGAGAGAGAGAGAGAGAGAGATGGGGGTTTACCAGAATGGGAGGGAGGTCGGACGACAGAGAGGCATTTTCGAGCTCGGTTAGTAAGAGAGAGAAAGAGTCCCACCAGAGGGAGGCGTCGACGGGCTTAGTGCTTGCCATTGACGGAGCTTCGAAGCTCAGAGAGGGTGAACTTAAAACCCTAGAAGAAGAGGGTTTTTCAGTTTCAGAATCGGAAACCCTCCCATTATTTTGTGATTTTGTGATATTTTATTCTTTTTCGCGCTTCAGAAAAACTGTATCTGCGAAAATTTGGACTTCAAAACTTTGCTTGTATTTCAATTGAGTTTTGTGGTATTTTAATTATTTTAATGAATTTAGGTGTATTCAATCAAGATTTTAAGTGATTCTCTGAAATTCAAGATGTATTCAATTAGAATTTTAAGATTGTTTATTAAAGTCTTTAAAAATCCGAATGTATTCAATTAAGATTTTAAATAAGTTTATAACAGTTGAGTTGTATTCAATTACAAATTGATTTTAAAGAATTTGAGAAAGTTGAGAAATTAGAGGGAATTAGAGAGATTTCGTAGTGTATTTTAAAACATCCACAAATCTCACATGTCCCCATAAGATTTCGAAGAAATTGAATCAAAATTTTATATGGAATCTATACAAATCAATTAAATTCCATAAAAATTCATGAATTTATAAATCTATTAAAGTCTTTTAAATTCTCAATTGAATACACCCCCTTTATTCAATTAAGATTTTAAATAAGTTTATAACAGTTGAGTTGTATTCAATTACAAATTGATTTTAAAGAATTTGAGAAAGTTGAGAAATTAGAGGGAATTAGAGAGATTTCGTAGTGTATCTTAAAACATCCACAAATCTCACACCTCCCTATAAGATTTTGAAGAAATTGAATCAAAATTTTATATGGAATCTATACAAATCAATTAAATTCCATAAAAATTCATGAATTTATAAATCTATTAAAGTCTTTTAAATTCTCAATTGAATACACCCCATTTGGTTTAGTTGGGTCAGAAGCGATGAAGAATTAGATTTTCGATTGGGCTCAGGTTTGGGCTTGGTGCGGGTATATGCTGGGTTTTTTAATGTCAGCTTTAGGGGCCTTCAAAATCATTAGGCCATTTCTAATAGAAAGGGTTAAATGTCAAAAAATTAAAAAATAGTAAAAAAAACGTAATTGAAAGAAATCTGAATCTCCTTTTAGAATAAAATGATCAACCTCTTGATAGGAAAAAAAAATCAAGACAATTTATGAACTAAAATATAATTCCACAGAAACCCTCATTTTTTTTTTTTTTTGGTTGAAAGAACAATTCATAGAAGCAGAAGGGCACCAGGCCAAACAACATAAAGAGAGCTTCCCCGAAAGCCTAGGGAGCAAAGACCAAGATAAACAGGACACAATGCGACGCCATCCCGCAGGACACCAGCGTCGTCCCATCTACTTGTGCAAAAAGGATCCCGACCTTTACAAAGGAGGACAAGGAAGACCGTCTTTGTTCAAAATACCTACAAGCGAAGATGGAGGTCTAACAACCCAGCTGAAGCCGCACATCTCCGGTGATATATTCCTCGCGACGAAATCTGCCGCCCTATTTGTTGCTCGCAGAACCCAGGACCAGGAGCATGATTGAAAACTCCTCCCAATCTCCAGAACAGGGATAAGATTTGGGAAAAGGTCCCAATCACAACTCAGAGAAAGAGAATTAAGGGACCGCATAATAACTTGCGCATCCGATTCAATCACCACCTCCAGCAGTTGTAAATTGTTTGCCAATAAACACCCTTCCAGAACGGCAAGAGCCTCCACCATCTCAATAGTAAATGCATGCACCCTCACACTCCGCACCACGTTACAACCCGAGTAGCTGTCTCTGACCACAATCCCAATATTACCGCATAGAAAGTTTCTCCTCCAACAAGCATTAACATTTATCTTCCTCCAGTTAACAGGGGGAGGAGACCATCGAACAAGTCGATACACACCACGAGCAAGGGTGATTCTATCAGCACCTGATGGTCGAATACACGAAGAGGCCAACTTAAAAGAATCCATGTCAGTGACTATAACCCGAATAGTTCTGAAAGGAGAATGATGAACCTCATTGAAAATTGCATCACATATGGCCCTCCAGATAAACCAACACGAAAAGACCAAATAGGAGATAATACGTTCAAGGTCCACCTTATTGCCCAGATTTTGATTTCCAACTGAGTACAACCACTCGCCCAAAGTTGTGATAGAGCTTTGATCAATCTAAAGGCTCAATGGACCTTCCTTCCACACCCTAGATGCCCACAGGCAAAGCAGAAGAATATGCTTCATAGTCTCCTCTCGTTCTGCACAAATGAGGCAAAGTGGGGAAATAGCACACCGACGTCGATACAGGTTAAGTTTGGTGGCACAAGCATCACAGAGAGCCCTCCACAGAAAGTTTCTCATTTTGGAGGGGCTTTACAGCTCCAAACCCAAACCCACACTTTTCTAGTGTGATCGAGGTATCTCCCCAATATGATATAGGATGGTAATAAAAAAATGGAAAAATAACACAAATTGGCCATTTCCTTAATCTTAGGTCCAAAATAAAAAATTTTGGGATATGTATAGACCATGCACATGATATGCATAACAATATGACAGGAATAGGATTTTCCTAAAACTTGAAATGACTAAATTTCCCTCCAATATAAATGGGTTATTTCATCCAACCCATTCAACATTTACTCTGTTCTTGTTCGAAAACCACAACCCTCAGCTCGACAAACCCCTTACCTAAACGGCACAACCCATTTTCTAACTGACGACAAGATTTGAAATCCTTGTCCAATTTTTTGACCCATTTTCTAGCATTTACTATTTGTCTGAAAATCTCTCTTGCCCAATCCCCAGCTCGAAGAACTTTAATAGCCAAACGGCGTGACCCAAATTCTGTCCAATTTTCTAACCAACACCAACTTTACAATCATTTTTTTATAAGTTTCGTGGCCAAGGCGAGTTTGGTATTTATGGATTCAAACAATACTAATGGCAAAATAATAATAATAAAAAAAGATACGTTTTGAATTGAATTTTCATTATTTGAACTTAGGTTTTCCCAGTTTGAAAATTTAGGGTGCATTTGTTGCACCAAACTATCTCGAACTGGACTAACTTCAGAGATTAAGTTGGACTGGCTTGTCTTGGACTAAGTAGGACAAGAATAGTGAAGTGTTTGGTGCAGTGCCAGACTAAACTATGAACTAAATTTTTTTCAAGACCCACACTATTTTTTTTATATTGTTAATTCTTTTTTAAATTATAAAAATAATAAACTAAATATTATATTATAAAATATTTTCTGCCATTATTTTTTAGAAGATAATGGATTACTCTGGAAGCAGCTACTTCCCCTTTTCTATCTCAGTACAATTGCTTCCCATTTCCCCCTCTCTCACCACTTTGCAGACAACACAACTCGCCCTCTTCACTTTCTCTCACACCTTTACTTCCTCTTTCTCCTTCTTAGTGTAGAGGTATCGGTGCTCATCCCACTCGTCGTCGACAAAAACTCCCTCTCTCATAGCCAAGCAAATGAACAAGTCACACAATCAACAGAACCCACGACGCAATTTGGATTCTGGTGGTACTAGAACGATTGATGTGCAACTCATGGAACGATTGGGTTTCAAATGTAGCGATTTTATAATTTTTTTTTGTTTTTTTGTTTCGAATTCTGGGTTGGATTTTTGAAAATGGGTTTTGAATTCTGGGTTGAATTATAGGTTTCAGATTCCACTATCTGGTTTTGAAAATGGATGAGCAAGTGAGGAAGAAGTAGATGGGAAAGGTGAAGCGAGGAAAGTGGAGCTGATTGGTCTTAGTAGTCCGCCCAATTTTGGGGGGTTTAGGTAAGACCCTTTAGCGAACCCGTTAGTCCATGTGAGTCCCACTTTGTCCCACTAAAGTTAGTCCCCACGGGAATCAAACACAGAATTACACAAACACTTAATCTAGTCTAGTCCAGTCCCACTTAGTGAGGGCAAACAAACGCCCCCTTAGGGTTTTGGGTGCGATTGACTATTTTGTACAATTAATTTGAGGAAAATTAACGGATTAGCTTTAGGGTTGTGGAATTGCATGTATTTTGAATTTAATTTTGTTCATGGTTTGTTCAATCTTCATTTATGCATATTGTGTACATATTTTGTGCATGTGCTTTTGATATTGATGGAAATTAATTGATTGAATTTGGTTCATGAATTGGTTCATATTTTGTGCATGTGTAGATGTTAGGCATACTTGCTTGAATTTGGTTCATGAATGGGTTGAATTTGAGCATATAATGTGCATATACTATCCATATCATGTGTGCATGTTTATGTTATTACTTTCATGTGTGTATAAAACTTATGTTTGTCATTGTTGGATTCAAAGGCTCTGTGGAAAATCTTGCAGGTCGAAAGTCAAATAGTATCATTTGTCAGAACTTGTGTGCCCGTTGGACGAGTTATTTCTTGCTACTATCTTCTGTGTCTATCAGACACCTTAGGGTGTCTGTGTAATATAAAAGGCTGATTTTCAAAAGATCAACTCAAGAAATTCGAGGATTCTTGTTTTGGCCATTTGGTTGACGTGGACTGCATTGATTGGTTTGACCAGCTTAACCACTATGTTATCCTTAAGGCTATTAAGGATAGAGTGATATATGATTATCCTTCATGTTTGAGGAAGATGTCACAACTTTCAAAAGTTGCGAATTTTATTTGATCAACGAATTGAAGTTCGGAGAATTCCCCCCAAACAAAAGGAAAATGAATGTCATATTAAAGAGATGTATTTCAGGGTAAAGAAGAAGATAACCCTAAAACAATTGAAGGACTAATTCAATGAGTGCCAAAATGAAGATGATTTGTACAAGCTGGGCATGCTGTACTTCGTCCACTTTATTATTTTGGGGAAGGAAAATGACTCATCCATTGACTACCATCTGCTTGAGTTGGTAGACAATGAAGAAAACTGGGGTGACCTATCATTGGGGTTTGGTGTCCTTCCAATTGTTGATGTCAATCATGACCATCGCTGCTTTAACCAGTACAACATTCTAAAAGAAAAAGAGTAGAGAAATCAAGGGCTGGTACCCAGGATTCCTATAACCTAAAGGGGTTTTTGTATGCATTACAGGTAATTTCTTTTCCCTTTTTTGTTATAAGTTTAACGTACTTTACATTTGTTTCCGCTGCAATTTATTTACATTATAACTTTCAATTTTGCAGATTTAGTTGTTTGAAACTTTGTCATACCTAAAGACAAAAAGAACTTAAGGGTGTTGATGGAGAACCCTGAGTTATTGCCTTGAATTTGCCATGCGGACACCAATGTAAATATGTCGCATGAGAAGTTGAAGAGGGTTGAATTTGCTCAACAAACGACACATGTTATTTTCATATCATCCCGCAACAAGTTCTTCCAATTTTAATAAACTTACTGCACTTTAAATAAAATTGATCGTACTAACTTATGCAACACCAATTTTGTCGAATGCAGCTTGTAGTCCAGCCCATTACTTCTACCGAGGCAAAAAAAGCCCTTACTGAAGTAGAATGTTTGACGAAGTTAAGCCTTTTACGAATGCAACACCAGAGCGCGAATGTAAAGGTTTTGCCAATGTTGATCATGACTCCAAGGTGACTCCTTCATCGAAAGGCAAAAGGAACACGAAGGCAGGACACCAAAGGAAGCGAGTGTTGCCATCAATTTCCAATTCAGCAGTTTGTACATTATAGTTTGAATTTAGACACATTGTTTTATTATTTTTGTGAATGGATCTCATTTTCGGGGGTAATTTATGAAATCTTTGTTTTTCATACGCATGATTATGAGTTTATTCCAAGGAGAGAGTTTGATGAGTTTGCACAGTTGATTGAGCTCTAGTTGAGGGTAATTTTGGAAGAACTAGAGGTTGAGCAGGGTGCCCGGGGGCCCTGGCTGCCGAGGTTGAGTGTCTACAGGTTGACGCAGCCAGCCAATCATTTCAGAAGACCTTGAGCCCTGATAAGTCGGTAGGAACAACATCGTTTGCATAACCCCACACCTCTATTACCGAACAAAAGTCCCTTTGCAGGAAATGACACAGTCGTATCGACATGAGATGTCACTTTTCTGACTTTTGATGTTGTCTTGTTCAACACAGTATGCAAAGGATGTCACCCAATCACTCATGCATATATTGGAGTTTAAATTGGATGGTAACTTAGGAGAAGGCCAAGTTGTGTATCTTTGAGAGGGAGACAACGACATGGAGGTTAGCAAGCATAATGGCCAAAATGAGAAAGGCGTCGACGTGAACAAAACTACCAGTCCATCTAATTTCGAGCTGCTTCTCAATGAGGGATGCGACTAAAACGCAAAGGAATGCAGCTCGTGCACCTTTTCACCCTTCTCCAAGGCTAAAAAAAAGAAGATAAATTTCCGATAGTCGAGCTGAGGATGTCGGAGTTGCCCGGATCCCCTGCGGATTATCCCTAAGCATGATGTGGAGGTTTTCATCGATGACAAACTGGGCCCATTCGCAAAGGTACGTCCACTTTCAGTGGTATTTCAAACAATTGAATATTCAACAACTGTCCAAATTGGAATAACAACATGTGTTTTTTTTTTGTACCAGTGATATAATCGACTTATACACATTGGCTATTATGGGTTGGGATTTTTTTGCCATACTCAACTATTCGGAGGGTACTCTGCACAGCAACGTAAGCATTTTTTCTGAATTTGTAACTACTTTATGTTTACCACATTATAAGTGATTATAAGTGTTTAATATTGCCTACAATGCATTTCACCTTGGATTCAACACATCAACATCGACCTTTACCTTCTGAGGAAGTGAGCGTTAGAGCATCCTAAATTTTTTTGGGAACGATGTACTATTTTTTTTTGGGAAAGTTTTATGTTCTTATTCTTACCCTCGATTCTATTTACTTATGTTTGTAATATGAATTCTTTGTCATTTACAAATAGGCAGACATGTCCTTTGTTTTTGTTTTTTGTGAGAAATTTTTTAATTTTGTTGCAAT